TTCCTGAGCTCCTCCTGCCACAGCGTGGACGTGCTGTCCTGCGTCCTGCACCTTCTGAACCAGGGCTATCTCCGGCGCCAGGAGGGGAGGCCCCAGGTCCTGGAGTATGTCTCTGTTGAGTCCCCTCCTGCCCCCATGTCCCAAATCCAGCCCTTGGTTGCCTTTCAGACTGTAGAGATCAAGACGGCAGCAAGCACGGCCTCTGCCAAGAGGAGACAGACTTTTTCCACGTTCAGGTAGACAAGGGCTGGGTTGGGCAGGGAAGGCCCAGCCTAGGCCCAGCCAGCCCATTCCTGAGGACTCTGGGGTTTTATTTTAAATAAATGAGCCAAGCCACACCTGGTGCTGTTTCATAGTCCATGAGAGAGCTGTGGCTAATTTGTGGCCAGGAGCAGTATGAGGCCAGTACCAGTGGTGCCTCTTGCCAGGCAACCCTGAGCTCTGCACTTGAGGGGGATGCAGCAGCCTTGCCATCCCCACTCTGGTGGTCTCACTTAGCTTTGCTGAGCTGTGCCCACAGGCATGGCCACCCCCCCCTGCCATAATGGTACCAGCATTAATTTATTAAAATTAATCCAGAAAAGTAACCGTACAATAAATTTAAAAAAAATAGAATCTTGTAAAAAAAAGAAAAGAAAAAAAAAACACAAGTACCCCCATGCCATGCCTCCAGCTGGCAGCACCATGGGGCTGGGCTGGTCAGGGAATGGATGGGGACACAAGGGTGGCCCTGGCAGCCTGGGGACAGCCCCAGCAGCACTTCACCAGCCCAAGTGTGAGGGTGACAGAAGGACTAGAAAAGCTGCCAGGGCTCAGCCCCCCATCCCCACCAGGAGTAGGGCAGGCCCGGATCCAGCAGTGAGAGGCCTTCAGAGGGGACTGGTGCCGGGCCGGTGCAGAGGGAGGACCTTGCCTCGATGGAGCTGTCTGCAGGCCCTGCTCTCTGTCTGCCCTCCAGCCCCACCCGAAGCAACCCTGTTGGCTCCAGGGCCGGGGAACCTGGCTGGGCCCAGCCCAGCTGGAACCCTGGCTGGATGCGGAGCTGGCCCAGCAGGCGCTGCTAGGGTGAGGGAGGCCCCGAGCCCTTTCCAGATCCCTCCTAGCTGGTGCCAGCCCTTGCCCTGGGCTGCTGTCCGGGGAACATGGGAGGGAGAGGGCATGGCACCCTGGCTGCCATTGGAGGGTACCTGGACCCAGTCTTATTGGCCTCATCTTTGGGCAGCAGTGCGGGGGTGGTGTCCCCTGCCACAGAGCAGGCAGGGGCTGGGCTGCAGCCCCCACAGGTGCTGCCCAGCAGAAAAGAGGGGGCACGAGTACGTCCATCTCTCCACCTCTTCCCATAACCCTCTGCAGCTTGACCCCAGGGCTGCGTGCATCTCACACACTCTTTGAGTAGCCGAAGATGCCCACAGGGAGGTACTTGACATGCGTTGGCCACTGCGCTGCCAGCTGAAAAAACTTGACGTCGTTCCACTCCACCCCATCTATGGAGACTAAGAGGACATGGTGCGGTGAATCACAGCCCTGTGGGCAGCCTGTGCTGCTGGGCCTGGCACCTATGGCCCTATGGGGCTGCTGCCTCCTCCCCTTACCTCGCAACATGGTGTTCTGGTGCTTGGCTGTGCAGATGAGGCGTGTGATCCCTTCGATGACTTGGCTTTTGGGTTCCAGGTCCTTCTCCTTTGGTTTCTTGCTCAGGAACATCACTGGGGGCCAAGGGCAGATGGGACTAGTGTTGAGATGTCCCCACCAGCTCCTGGACAGGAGCCCCTCCCACCACAGGGCTGGCTGCACTGACCGGCCCTGCTGGGCTGGTACTCAGCCCTGCCCTGCTGTGAGCTCTCCCAGCCCTTTTCACACCAGACCATGGTCCTAGGGCTGCAGAGAGCCCACGAGTGGCTTTGGGGCTTACCTTTCTTGTTCTTCTCCTTTGTGACCACGGTCATGGCCATGGTGCTGGGTGGCAGCAGCTCCCCTGTGCTGGGGATGCGGCTGACCTGCAGTGAGCGGAAGTTGCTCTTGAGTGTGTTCTTGATGCCTGTCTCTCGCTTCTCACCCTCCTTTTTCCTGTCTGATCCTTGTGTTGTCCAGTAGTCCACCTGCAGGCCCATCACCTCCACACTGGGACTCAGGGACCTGGGTGAGACAGGCAGCACTGTGCAGCACACAGGTACTGGGTCCAGTCTTTGCTCCTCTTGCTCCCTGTATCCAGCAGTGGCCTGCCCTGGGAGCGGAGCGCACTGGCCCAATAAACCCAGGAGCGTGGCCAGGGACCACCTCAAACCCTCCTGCCCTGGCACCTGCTGCCCAGGTCTGCCTGGGGCTCCCTTACCCAGCACCCGAGAGGCTGCTGCTGATGGAGGGGGAGGGCGGCGGGGTGCCCACGGTCTCCTTGCTGTAGGGGACTGCTCCACTGGTGGCTGGGGTCGAGCTCAGCAGGGAGGGTGTGCAGATTGTGGCATCATCCGAATCCACTAGGGAGGAACAGCGGGGATCAGGGGGACCGTGGGGAGGCAGGGAGGGCACCCACAGAGGCCTCCCTGCAATAGCAAAGGGAGCTGTGGGCTGCAGGCTCTGGGACTCACCAGAGGCACTGAAGGACTGCTCCACCAAGCCCACCTTCACCACCTGCAGGGAGAGACACTTCAGACAATCCCCACCACGAACCCAGCCCAGCTGCACTCCCTCCCTGCCTTCCCACCTCACCCACTGGCTCCCCAATGCACTCACCCCCACAAAGGGCACGAACTTCTGGCAGGAGTCCTCGTCAGGGCTGTGCAAGGGAGAGGCAGGTTAGGTGCTGGGGCGATGGGGGAGAGGGAGGGGGCAGTACCAGGCACCGCCATGCTCTGCAGCCTTGGAGCCAAGGGATACCCCCACCCCAGCACCAGCAGGGGCCGACACTGCGGTCTGGACTCAC